AGCTACTTGCGTTTTGCGTTTGACACTTGCGTTTCAGATCGGCAAGATAGGGCCCCCGTGTCACTGAAGCAGTCACAATATAAGGTACTTTGGTTCAGTTCATCAAGGTTTTTGTTTCACATTTACACAATATTTAACAGAATATATGATTATTTCTGGATTATTCATGTGTCATTGACTTGTATTGTTCCAGTGTCCACTTATCCACTATAGCTACCCTGTAGCCTGTCTACAGTGATACTACATAGATATGGAGAGAACCATGATTGGTCAGCTTGGGCTGCTTCTGTTTTCTCCTACACGTTCCCAACCCCTGGTTAACCCCTTATAGGGGACTCATTGAAATACTTGGAAATTTTAAATTTCAACCCTGGAGTGTTATTGGTGGATATAAGACGAATTTTTTTCTGTGACCATATATGGGTCATCGCCCGATAAAGGGTTAAGAAACAAGAAAGTTGAAGAAAATCCCATTAGCAAAGCACAGTGCATGAAATAATGGACTGGGAGTGTAACCAGGCAACCCTTAGCTTTGTTGCTATATATCACAAATTGAATAAAAGAGTGTGAACACAATTACTGTAGATAGATCCAGAACGGTGAAATCTGATGCTGAACTATAAATGAATTCATACGCTGTTGGGACCAATGTGACACAAAGTATAATTCCAGTGTACTCATAACAAGGTATCTGTTTATTTACATGTTCAAACCTAAAAATGTATGTGCTACATAAACTTTAATAACTTAGGAGACCCAAGATGTATAGACTTTTGTTCCCTGTCTCTTATCAATACAGTGACCACTTTCCCGTGCTCTCTCCTTCCCCATGTTGCCTCTATTTCTCCTCCCTGCTCATTTCCCCATTTGCTGCCCTCTGCTTTCATATCACTCGATCACTGCGTCTGTTTCTATCTCCCCTTGTCTGATAATCACCATATTATCCTCCTGGCAGTTTCTGCTCTTTTCCTCCACTTGGGGGGACTATTATCTCGCCCTGTGTACTATTACTGGATATAGTTGAGTAGCACACATGCTGGGTAATGCTGCACCTTTCTCTACTTGACATGAACAAATAATAAGACACATAACCAGATACACACATTCAAAAATAATAAAAAAATCAAAAGCACAGACACAAACAAGCTGGCAGACACATACACACACACATGCACACACCATAGCTGGCGGTGTTTGTCTGACCTGTCTGTTCCAGTCATGTCTGCCAAATCAAGTGCTTTGTTATATAAAGTGGATCTCTCTGGGGTTGATGGACAGTCTGGCAGTCTGCAGAACAGACTGCACATCGGTGATATCTCCACCCCTACAGACAAACACGAACAGTTGTTTCAAGAGCTTGAATCCAAAACAAAATTGGTGTCTTTTCTCTTTTTTCCAACGGTTTGGCTTAGTTCCAAGATCCCAAAGTGATATTTTCACATGAGGGGCTTGTTTAGTCTGTATAAAACTTCCGTCAGAAAACAGAAGTAGTGATATTTTGCTTGTACCTCTTTCTTGTTAGTGCTTGTCATTCTGGGCAATTATAAACTGTTATCCATTGGCAACTACACCCCATGGCACTACACTTGAACATTTCATACAGTATTCCCTCCACTCTTTCCACAAGATTTTTGAACTTGGCTGCAAAGATTTGCTGACACTCAGCCACAAGGGCATTAGCAAGGGTGGCCACTGATGCTGAGCGATAAGGCGTAGCTCGCAGTCGGCGTTACAGCTCATACCAAAGATGAGGTCAGGGCTCTCTGCTGGCCAGTAAGCTCTTCCACATCAAACTGAGAAAACTATTTCTTTATGGACGTCACTTTGTGCACAGGGGCCGCTATCATCTTAAAACCTTCCCCAAACTGCTGCCACAAAGTTGGAAGCCCACCATTGTCTAAAATGTCATCCTATGCTGTAGCCATATAATTTTTTAACCTAGAACTAAGGTGTTCAGACATACATATACACAAACATACATATATAATATATATATATATACCACTGTCCAGTGTTTTGGTATCTGATGGGATCTACTACTTGAACAGGACTGTCATTGGTTAGTGGCTGTCTTCTGCCACTAAGGGACTTAAAAACTACCCCAGAACACATTACTTTGGGGCATATACTGGCATTTCACGAATTGTTGGAACTTAATTTTTTTGCTTGTATGTTAGCTTAATACTCCACCTATGAAGATTAAACAGTACGATGATCAGAGCGAGAACACTGTGAGTGCTATGGGCAGCCGCCTCTTTGTGCCAGAGTTTTAAATTGGTATCAACGCGTCGATCCTGCTTCAATCCATTTTCAAACAATTAAGGTAATGTTGTCAAATGCTTCACTCCAACAGCATAAAACAACACATTGGCAAACACACAACGAGTAACAAAGACCAGGACGTTATTTCAAATACTTACATGTTAGGCTAAAAGTTTCTTGCCAGATTTGAAAGCAAAGTCACACACTGTTAACTTTACACACAAATCAACAATTTTTCATAGTAACTGGGCTTATGGAAATGTGCCCTTGTGCTTGAGTTAACTTCACTTGATATAAATGTGATTCAAGTGTAATATTTTAAAGCTTATATATATACTGACACAAGGCCTGCAAGCCACAGTAGGGTGAGTTGACTTCAACAAATAAGGGGCCAATTAAATCCACCCCTCCCTATTTAAGTAAAAACCATAATGTTTATGCATGATTAATATCATCAGGCATAACCAAAGGGTCGCTACACAACAAAGCTGAGATATGGGTGAAACATACAGATAGATACGAGGCAGGGAGCATAAAATGGCGCCGACCGTTTACAAGAAAGGCGACAAGCAACAGTCTCAGCAACAAACGCCACTGAGAGCTTGTAAGAAGCCACCCAGGACAGAGAGAAAACTACCTAACTTAGAGCACATTATTTGAGATTTGTTATTTGCCTCCAGCTCTCTTGCTCTACAGATGAGCCACACTGCCTGCATCTCCCCAACCATTCTCTCCTCCAAGTCTGGCATCTAGCCATCTACTTTTATCTTTTTCAAAGAACTGCAAACACAAGGAGCGAAAGCTGCCTTTTTCTTTGCCACCTCCATTTTAACATCATAAAGTAAAAAACAAAAGTGCATTTGGTCTTTGATTTCTCTGGCGGGGGGAGTTTTCGAGATGACTAAATTCAAGTGAGAAATCAGTGAGCTTAAGTTTTTCTTGTGCACAAAGAACCAAGAAACAGCTGAAAAACCTTTAAATGGCTGTACCTCTCCAATTAAGCAATCTACAGGTGTAATGAGGGCTACAACTAATGATTATTGTCACTATTGATTAATCCATTCATTTTTTAATCTTTTGATTGGGAACTTGGGACGGGCAGTTTTTAGACTAAACCATTATTTGATCAGAGTCCCAGAAGATGTCTTCAACAAGCTTGTTTTGTCCAATCATATAATACTGAGAAAAATCTGTTAAAAAAAAAATCTATTAAAAAAATCTGCAACTTGCAAATGCTTCACATTTTTAGCTTATGAATGACTTCAACAATTACGTGTTTATCAAATGTTCAAATCAAGACAAACAGGAAGAATGAACACCTCTGCAGCTTGAACTCTCGTCTCATTTCCTGTCCTCCTTGTTACCTGCTCAGGAAATAAAGTGCATGTGTCACTTTGGCAGTAATGAGCTGGATTCATTGCCGCTCTTGTCTATGTTTCTATGTTTGTTTGTGTGTATGCGTTTTGTGTCTGAAAATGCAGGCTCCCCTGCTGCGAGTGTATCCAAATGCAGTAGGATTAATTGGTGTTTGCTTTCTTATCTCGGCCCAACAGCTGTTCCAGAAACTGAAGAATCTGATGAGGCCTTATTCTGTAGAGTTTGAGTCGCCGCTGGAGCTGTCGGCGCAGGGTGAGTGTGAACAAACACACAAACACACCCAAACATGCAGCTCACATGGACACATGCATGCAAATATGTTCATCATGTTTCTGTTATTTGCTCTCTCTCCTCCTTATCCTTCCTGTTGGTGTTTTGATGCTGAATATCATTTTTTTTAATGCAACTGATCCAAATCATATAGGCGCCACACTCCAGTTTGTACACAACAACCACCACACAGGAAAAAGCAGTCATGTTACTTTGCACTTTCTTGAGACCCATTGTCCTCCTCCCTAGCTTCAGGTGGGAGTAGGGACATACAGTACTGTCTATTCATTCAGTATTACAAAAGCCTGTTCTCAGTTCCGGGAACAACTGGAAACTCTCGTCTGTTACACCCAGATCCAGACTTCCTCTTCTTTAGCTCTTCACTTTGATTAAAAGCTTTCCAAAGAGACATGTTCTCCCCTCTGTGGTCATGGTGAACCAATAAGTACTGTACACCCCCAGGTACCACTTCATTAGAGGCCCTAATCTCTGCACCACCAGTGATTTACAATGTGCACATAACAACAAAAGAAAGGGGAAATCTATTTCACAAATTTTTGGTCCCCTACAAATCAACCCTGTCTCCTAGAAGTTAATGTTAATAATACTATTCTTCAACAGTAAATGTGTTTGGAGGTTAACGTATGCCACCTGAACAAAATTTTTCTGTAGCAAAATGTTGATGTTCAGCATAAATGCAAATAGCAATAGTTCATTCAGGTCTAGCAACAAAAGCATGATGAATGTTTTTTTATGGTTATGTCTAAGCACTCACAGCTCTTGGTTAAGGTTAGTGGAAGATTGTGGACAGTCGGCAGTCCTGATGCGTTTATTGTGTTGACGTTTTAGTAAAACCATCCCCACTTTAAAAAAGGTCCAGTGTGTAAGATTTAGGGGGCTCCATTTACAGAAGATGTTACCTTAGAATTAGTCTTTTATATCTACAGACGTCACAGGTCCTCTTCCATGGAGTCTGCCATGTTGAAATGCCATGTTTCTGCTACAGCAGCCCACAACGGACAAATCAAACACTGGCTCTTCATGGGGCCTTTCATGTTGTTCGCAGCCGCTGTAGTTTCTCCTTTTGCACTTGGTTGAGTCAAGGGGTATTAGTTGGTCGCAATCTACAAACTCAATGCTAGATGCCAATAAATCCTACACACTGTTTTGTTAACTGGACTGCTTTCGTTGGCTAAACCTAACCACCAGGACTCAGGAGGCTAACGCTACTCTCCTTGCGGTAAACAAACAAAACTCCCTGTTCATCAACACAGAACAGAATCCATGCAGCTCTTTTGGCAATACAAATTATATATAGAATTGTTTTACAGGACAGTGATTAGCAAAAGTAAATTAATGAATTTCAAAAACATGCACACACACAAGTACAAACATGCAGATATCTTACTCTAAACCTCAGACTATAGTATATTGTTTTCATATTAAGTGTTGCAACATGTTTTTTGTTTGCTGATATAGTAATGCAAACAGAAAATCTTTTCCATATATTGTTCTTGGATAACAAAGTGATTCTGCCTCCTTAATGCGTGATTCAAACTTTTCCTGTCTCATTTACCAATCAAGGCAAAGAGATGATTGAGATGTACTTCGACTTCCGCCTCTACCGACTTTGGAAGACACGCCAGCACTCCAAACTCTTGGACTATGAGGATTTTTTGTGACGAAGACACCTAGACAACAGGTGCAGCGGAGCACTCCGGCCCCACGACGAGAGACCTGATGAAACCGATCCAATGACTGAACAATGCTCAACTGTAGTGCTCGACCCGCCAACTCAATAATAACAATCATTCCTGCTTTCATCCGGGAGAGGAGGAAGAGGCATGGCGGGATAAGGAGGCTGAGGACAAACAAAAATATGCTGTGCCTCGGCTCCGCCTCATTTTTAGAGTGAGGATCAAAGACGAACAAAAAGGGCCAAAAAAAACGCATAAAATAAAAAACTGGAGGAAAAAGCAGAGACAACTGGACTATACACATCTTAGTCACCAACTCTCTTTGCCTCCTGAGTTTGAAAGCAAAAAGGAAAATCTAAAATTGTGTAAAAAAGAAATATCATCTTAGTCACACCTCTGTTGTAAGGACAAACTTCTTGAAGCTGATGTGCTTTGGAAAAAAGAAAAATCACTGAAACTCATTCCGTCATAACATGGTTCTGTGTTTTGACTGGACCTCTCAGATGATCCCAGAACCTGGAGACATACATACATAAATAACCCATATGTCGATGTGCGTGTATATATATCACATGAATATATTAGCATAGCTTTAGTCATGCAAATAATACTCCATATGAGAATAATGATGCATCATTTATTTTTGATGTGCATTGTTGTGCAGTTTCATATGGAAATACTTTGGAATAACTCAGGTTTTAGCCATGAAGTAATTAATCTGTTTGTCTATTCTATCAAGATATTGTAATCTTCATCTCCATCGCTTGGAATGAATGTATTATCTCTCTAGAAATGTATCTTCAGTTTGAGGAATTGAGCTTCATGTTTTGGTAAAAAACAAAAAAAAAACAATGGATAATATGCTGATTTCTGTGTGTGAGCGTGCGCGTCTGGATGTGTTTTCCATGTAGAAAAAAGAAAACGTGCAGATGAGAAAAGTAATTGTTTAACACCTTCATCTCCCAATTTCTGTCACAAACACACAAAGACATTGTAGTATGATTCATGATGTCAAGAGGGATGTAACAGCCATCCAAGTGCTCCTAGCCCTGTAGTGTAGGAGTTGCCCTATTGATCCCTCCTGCTCCTTCGCAGAAGGTTCAGGCCACTTAGTCGGCCCCTGTCAACAGTGCCAGCTGCTCTCACTATCTGCCAAACACTCTTGGCTTCTCTTAATGGCAGCCAAACGAGCTTCCGCCACCTCTAACTTCACTGGGCTGTGATCCAGTCTGAGGACTGGAGTTCTCCGAATTAAACAGAACTGCCAGGAGTTTAAGCTGTTAACAGACATCTGCTGCCCCTGCCAGGTGTCAGCTAGTTAAAAGGCCAGAAATATGCTTGTGTGTGTCTGAGATGGTCACACTACGACCTGAGATGTCTCAAATAGATTAGGGATGGTTAAATATGGAGAGCAGCGGCCAAACAGCAATCTGAAACAATGTGCAAGCGCTCACTCACACACACGCGCAAACAAAACCCTAGGGCTAGGATGAAAACTTCAAGAAATCAATAAATCAGGAGAAAATTAAAAAGTAACTGTCCACAGATTTTAAAAATGAGGTTCAGTTACCTTGACATGATGAGTACTACTAGCCTGTGGAAACATTTATATGATGTCATCTTTGGGGGAACCGAGTGCAGCTGAGTGAGGTGGAGGACAGTTGTCCCTAGAGGAGCAAAGGGTTTAAGTCAAGTCAAGTCAAAATTTCTTAAGTTGGCGTTTTTATCAGGGTTATCTCAGCTTCGGCTTGAGACTTCAAACTTATAACAGGAAGCAATGCGTTACAAACTGTCAGTGCGGAAAGATGTGGAAGTTAACCTGGCAGGGGAGGTCTAACGAAAGACACACTAGATGAATTATGGGAAGTGTAGGATTCAGGGTTTTGGGGACTTGACTAGCTACTACGGACTAAAAGTCAGGATATCTAAGCACTCATAAGCCCCCTAACTTTACAGAAATGCCATTCTAAAATCACTTGAAGCCCTATCTTTTTACATTTATATTCAACAGAATAGTCATAAAATTTTGCCTTACGTAATCACATCTAAACTGGGACAATGATACTCCAAAAGCACATAAAACCTCCAATACTCTAGACTCAGCTTACCATTTCATTTCTCAGGTTGACATGCTCCTGCAAAAAGGCTCTGATGAAGGCAGACATGCGTATATATGCGTCAACCTTAGAAATAAGCTGAGGCCCGAGTATTCAGCTTTTGTGCTTCTAGATTGCTCTTATGAAAGTCTTTGTGTCCGCACTTATCAAAATGCTGCCACATTTCAGCCTTGATTTTATGAATATGGCAACAATCCAAGGAGACATTGCTAAGTCACGCTACAGCTCACTGCTCCGCCAATCACAGCAGTGTCCCACAATGACATCAGCCCCTGAATGTCAGCAAAACATCGCTGTAGAGCAACACGGCTAAGTGTGCTTTAAACCCAGTCAGTGACTGTTCGTATAGGCTGTAGGCGTGCAGAAAGTTTACACAGTGCATATTTATTTAATAGATGTCTGTGGTCCCAGCCCTGCATAACACATGCACACCCAGGCATACACACAGACAACGGTATTCTGCATCTGTGTATGGTAAAACACTTTTCCATTTGTCATTATTTGTGTGGATGTGTTAATATTTGAAGCATTATGTGCAGATTTTTTGTGTTAAAGTCAACCAGTCTCACTGGAGTGCTCTCTATCTCTCTACTAGCAGAACTCTGGTTTTTATTTGCTTTTGCCCTCTCTCTGACATTGCAGTGCAGGCCTATAGTTTGTCTGGCACAGACAAGTGCTCTCTCAGCCTGAGTCACGCAGAACATGTTTTCACTTCAGATTTAAAATTCAACAGTTACACGACCTGTCATATCATTAGGCCATTTTAATTCCAGCAGAAGCATTAAGCTGCCAAATTATCAAAGATGTTGCCCTCAACAGCTGCTGGGTTTAATGGAATATGTTTTTCTTTCAGATTAGATACGTGGACACTGGTTAATTTAAAGCAAAGCAGCAATGTGATGGATTCAGTCAATTCAGAAAGCATTTTTCTTATGCCATAGAAAACACTGACAAAAATCTCATTTTCAGTCTATAAAAAAGTTACTGGTAATTAATCTTCTGTTTGAATTTATTGGGCTGAACTGACTATACCATGAAGAGCACTCTGACTCAGGAGTTTGAGAGAGCTTTCTTGTTTTCTTCTTCAGCAAAAAACCCCCATCATTTCACCGGAAATCTAATTAAAGATGCAAACATGTCTATTTGTCTCTCTCAGTTTGTGTTGTATTATTTAACTCTTCTTTTCATTTTTACATTTTGGGAAAATCAACAACACAAAAAAAGAGCAGCAGAAATGTTTCTTCCCTTTATCGCAGCAGCTTTGGAAAAGAGCAGAGCATGAACAGCAAGATCTCTGGAATCTGACCTTTTGTTTAATTAAAATATGTATAAAACAAACTTAAGCTTAAAGGCACAGGAGACAAAGATACTGCAGTTTGATAGGACTGCAGAGAAAGGAATGTTTCTGCTTCACTCAGTTATCCAAAAGAACACATATGAAACTCAATTATCATTCCTTCATCACTATTATTATGTGACTGAACACAGTTCTGCACTCCAGGACCCTTACTTTCAAACATCAGAGTGGTGAAGTCATTTTGGCTGTTGCAACCTAATAGACCCAGCCTAACCAGACTACTACTACACATGCATATTTCCATTCAGGATGTGCCGTGTACAAAGTTTTGCATTACAACACCTATTTTAAGCTTTACAGAACTTCTTAATGATGTTTGCCACAGCAAGGTTGTACAAAAAAACCTGACTGGATACACTAGTAGTGTATTAGGAAATATGCTTAAATCTAACTGAATTTAACCCTGTGTTCAATAAAAGGGGTCAATACACCAATTAAAGTTCATGAAAGTGAACTATACAGTTTACAACAACCTCTACCAAGAGGCTTTCTTTACTGTAGTCTGATGCATCCAAAGCCGTAGCAGAATAGAGAGTGTGGATACAAGAGGCTAATTTTAAATGAAGAGAAGAGAAACCTTCTATCATTTATTAAAACGGTAGTTTAACACAGTGGTTATCAACCTGGGGGGTTGCCAAAGCTTCATGGGGGGTCACAAGGCTGTCTTGATTTTAAGGGGTGTAAGAAAACCTAAAAAATATAGTCACTTCTGTGAAGAAATGTGAAGTACTAATTGAACAATGGCCAAGCGTCAGGGACAAAAAAACAATGAATTTGTAAAAAAAAAAAGGAAGCATATTACGTCTGTATGATTGTTATACCGACAGAATTATATAAAAAGTTCCCTAAACAGGAAAAACAAATGCTCAAAATTCATTCAAATCACTAGTTTTACACAAACTTGTTGCAGTAACTGAGTTCATTATTGGGGTTAACTGTACTGTTAATATGGAATATCCATAAAATATGTCACTTAGTCAGGGTTCGTCAGTTCACAAAATGATATAAAAGTGGGTCCCTTAAGGAAAAAGGTTGGGAACCACTGGTTTAACACACAGGTTCTTTCTGTGTGGAATTAAACTCTCAATTCAGCCTCAGTGCCAGAAATGAATTGAAAGCACAGGGAGAAACACAAACTATGCATATTTTTGTATTATTTTGTCTTAGTATGCAAAAATGCAGATAAGACAGCCTTGATACTCAAAAAGTAGTTTTAAGGTGCCTTATCTCCCTGTCACAGAAATGTCTTGATCCCTAATCTCCATGCACTTGCCTTTCATGAACTCTGCCTTGCGTGCCCTGCTTTTCCACCTTCATCTCCCTTTTTTCTTTTCTCCACTTGAATTAGAATGGCGAATTAGCATCGAGTTTGATATGCTAAACAGAGTTTGCAAACATCACGGATATTCTGCTAATATTCAACTGCAATCCATTTTCACAGTCTACGGACTGCCCTGATTGTCTAGAGAGGCTTTACGTCCACTACTTTCCCTACGCCAACATCCATTTTTACAGATTTCCCATTCACCTGTCTGGTATGTGGCAGACCCAAACATGACAGACTTTCTGACAGGGAAAGAATGCATACCATGTGAGTAAAGAGACAGATAAAACATTACATTAACACAGACAGCTTATGGATGCAAGAATCCCACAGTCAGAGGAGTACTTAAAGATGCTCTTATCTTAAGCTGTTCTTTCAAGGTCAAACAGCATCTCTGCATTGCACCTCCTGAGGCTACAAACTACAGAGTGCATGAAAAGGCCGCATCTGGTTTAACATTAATGAATATGGTACTAGGACATATCTGGTACTAGGCTGTTTTTAAATTGAGTCATAAAATTGGTATTTGTATCTCTAAACTGTCTGAATTGAATTAGATTGTTTTTTGATTAGTTAGTTACCTTATATTTTGTATAACTGTATCTACAGAGCATAAAAGTTTTCAATCTAATTACGAAATACACTAACGCTGTACTGTCACTGCATTATGTCTACACCACTCATTGCTACAATAGAACATATTAACCTTTACAGCAAAAACTTGTAAATCAGCAGCCTGAAACTAAATAAAATGTGCAGCTAATGAAGTGCTATTCACACCTGGGGCAATCAGGAGTCCTGGTAGGGTGGTTACTGACAAGTAGAAGAAGGAAAAAGGGAAATGTAATGGAACTGAACAGCTGATAATTTGTATCTAGGCTCTGACCTACTCACTCTGACAAGCATAGATCGAGCTGTGCTGAGCTGGGAGAGTTATAATAAACTTCCTCCACAAAAGACACAAAGTCTGACACCAGCTATTATGTCGACTCCACTATATTTGGGATTCGGCTGCTGTGGGGCCAAAACCAAGTTAACTTCCCCTATACCGTTCACCACCAATGCATTTTTAACCCCACTGTAGGGATTTAGATGCATAAATCTTAACAAAGCAATCTACCTAATATGCAGCAGCAGCAGCAGACTAGACTAAGACAAATCAGCTATGCAGCAGCTAATTTTTCAGGTAAACACATTCAATTCTCAAAATAAAATCCTGGCTTGAAGCAGATGACCTTTTACATGGTGTAGTAGTGCGATAAGCATGAGATGACCATCAGGAGTGGGAATCAAGAGTGGATTGAGCACCTATAGCCTATGTGTGAAAATGGCCATGTTGCATTTCCCATTTAGCCTTACTGAAGAGAAATAATGTAAATGGGATGTGTACCAGATCCTCTAAATCAAAAGGCAATAAGCAAGGCTGCCATTAAACCCATTCAGCGTAACACTAAGTAACACTCAAACAATAATTAAACACAAACATGAATATTAAAATTTATTCACAATGTAAATTAGCAACATGAAAGTGTCACATGCTAGACAACAACCTTAACAGAAAAATAGTTCAGCCATTCATCATCAATTATAAACAAAGATCTAGATAAACTGTTATAAAATGACAACAATAATGAAAAGTTATAGTTATTTGCAATTTGGATTTTTAGTGCAAGAATATTTATATAATACATCTTTTCATGAATTTGTTCTATTGAGGCATTTGTCTTTATTGTAAAATGTTATTTTAATTTATTGTTTTATTTTTATTTTGTTTTAGTAGTACTGTAAGGTGCTCACTGTCAGCAGGAGACTTCCCCAGCCGCTACATATCAGTGTTGTTACAGCTACTGTTCTGATTGCACTTTTTTAAAAACTTTTTATGGATATGGTGGTGTGTTCTTTATACTATGACATTTGTCCTAAAATTAGATTTTTCATTACCTCGTAATATATCGCCTAGCTTACAGTATAGCAATATATCATAATACATTGAATCGTAACCTGTTTCGTGATGTATATCATGTCACCAGATTCTTACCAATACACAGTCCTAGTGTTTTCTGCATCTGATTCAGACCCATCATGGGGATAAGGAAAGTGAATCTCATGTGTCTCCATTTCTAGATGTGCTATCTATGCACAGTGTGTAGGCTACGCCTTGTCAACAGGACTAAAGTATCAGGGGATTGTTGCAATACAGATCTTTTCTCTTGAAACACAGGAAGTAATTTACCGGCACACTGCTGCTTACTGTACTTGCCGTATACCTGGTGTTAGCAGTCCTATCAGCTCACTCTACCTAGACTGGGAGCTCGTGTACCGGGGGAGTGTTGTTGTGTTTGTTTTCACCGCCAGCACATCAACCATAAGATGTGTGCACAAAATATCACCTTAAGGGACTTTATAGGCTCCATAATCTCCAAATCTTGATATCCTATTGAAATATAAAATTTTAAAAAATACAGGCTCAGACACAATGGCTCATTGCAGAGGGGGCGAAGACCTGTAGTGGAACTTTATACAAACTATAGGCTGGGAGGGCGGATGAGAGATGCGTGCTATTTCACCACAATGGACTGTGCCATGAATTGATCGTTTAACAGCGATCTGCTAATATTTAAAAGCATCACAACTTCTGGTCGGCTATTTTAGAACCATGATCAGATAAATGGATAAAAAAGTAAGACTGACTAAACTAGCCAGCATCCAGCATCTGACATTTAGTGATTGTGGATGCCCATACAGCCACACAGACATACAGCCAACAATGTACAGACACATAGTTATAACACACACAACAACAAATTCAGCTACCAGTCTGCAAGCAGTGTGTGTCCTGCCATTAGACTTCTACAATAACCAAACAGATACAGGGGTCAACAACAAAAGCAGCAACAAACACGCAGCATCTATGACAAGGCTGTTATATAACACACATACTGAATATGAAACAACTTACCAGTGATGTTTTCATCCAGCAGCTGTAAATTGGAATCCAATCCAGCAACAATGCTAACATTCTTAACATTAACATTGCTAACATTTTCACCTGTTTGGCTGTAGAGCCAACAGGACTCTGTCAGACAGGGAGGGTTGAGTTGTTGAGTGAGAACAAGTTTATGAGGAAACACATGAGGCCACAAGATTCTCCCTCTGCTCTCTGGACACGATAATTGCTTACATAAAAAAACAGTGAGGTAAACATCATTACTGCAGACAGAAGCTGCAAGCTTTTAAAACTCCCGGTGTTGCACCTGGCGGGGGCCCCATTAAGGGGGTACTGACGGAGCGGAATCAGCGACAGTACAAACAGGCCACAGTGCCCCTGCTGGAGCTGGCTGCTGCATACTGTCGAGAACCCCTTGGCAGTCAGTGAGGGCTTGTCTCTGCAGAAGATAGACTGATCTGAGTTTGTCCACACAA